CGGTGCTGTCCCGCCGGAGCGGCCCTGAGGAAAGGCGCCCGCGGAGGGCCTTGGTGCCGGAGGGAAGCAGGGAAGTGACGGGTTTGGAGCTCTCGGTCCTCTGCCCCGGGAACCGCGGGGCACTGCTGGGAAAGCCTGCCTGTCTATGGAAAGCTGCAGCCATGCCAGTCCCAGCGGAAAAGGTGGAATGTCGCTACCCGGGCTTTCCAACAGGTTGCTTGTTCAGCATGCGAAAGCCATCCTGCTTCGGCTCCCATGGCGGTGGAATCGCCGTCCCTGGAGGCTTTTAAGGCTGGACGTGGCTCGCAGTGGCACGGTCTAGTCGGCACGGTGGTGTTGGGTCAGAAGCTGCACTCGATGATACCAGGGGTCTTTTCCAACCTAATTCTGTGATTTGTTCGTGTAGTACAGCATTCGCCCGTGCATGCGGTTGAAACTGATAAAGTTATATACCGCAGCATACTGTGTGCGTCACACTAACTGTGATTAGCAGAGCTTAGCAACAAAAACAGAGCTCTTTCGTCTCTCTATATTGTTCTGCTTAAGTAGAGATGTTCTGAAAAACACAAGCTATTATCAAGATAGCTGAAGTGACAGAAGCCCCTTGTGGACCCAAAAATTCCTTTACCACAGTGAGTTTTTTAGCCTCTGGAAGTAATTTTGTAACAATGAAAAAAGCACAGTCTTGCCTTTAAGTTTTGGCCAAACAGTAGATCCTCCATAAGGGATCTATTTGTCCTAACAATTGTGTTGATGATGTTTTTGGATTTCACGGAAGAGTTTTGGACAGTGTTCCACACATAGGGCTCTTAAAAACAGAAAAAGAAGGTGATCTTTTATGGAATAAGCAGTTTTTCAAAAGTTACTTCTTACTGAAGTTCCCTAGGAAGTTTGTGCCTTTTGAGTTATTTTAACAGATAAGCTGGGGAAAAAGGGAGATGATCGAGTTTGCTATGAGCACCAGATTATTCGATGGAGTAAAAAGGAATTGCAGGAGGGTTTCCTGATACTGCAGGATGTTACAGTGCAAGTCAGAGTTAGTAAATGTAAAGTAAGAGAGTAAGTTACTCAGCCTAAACAGTGATGTGCCCATAGTAAAACTGCATGCCTACATTTCAGATGCTGTTTGGTTTTGAAGATAAGTACTGGCTTCAGTTTTTCATTTCCCAAACAAAATAGGATTACTTGTTTGGGTTTTTTAACTGTTAGGCAGTTGCTGTAGCATCTATACAAATTGTTCAGGAATAAAGAAGGCAATAAAGAAGACCACTTAGGCCCTGAAAAACCTCATATTGCAGCTCTGGGACTAGATGGCAAGGGGACATGGAGGCTGCTTTAGGCTAGGTATTGATCATGGCTGGGTCCATGTCTGTCACGGGCAGCACTTGTCATGGGTTCCATTGCCATCAGGATGACTTATTCAGCCAAAACTGGTGCATTTTTAGAAGAGATTACAGGTTAAATGCCTTCAGTTTCTGTTAAGTGAGTTTGCAGGAATTTAAAGTGGTGGATTTTAAGAGGAAGGAGAGACAAAACAATTCAGCATGCATTCATTCTTATTAATAGAGAAAATACTAAGCTTTGTACACACCACCATGGTGAGCTGTCAGATTATGGGGCATTTTCCTGACTGTAATTAAATAGCTCTTCAGAGCTTGGCCAGATTAGAAAAGTTAGTTGAAGGTATTTACCCTACAGTGAATCTGAAAATCTGAATTCCCATTTTGATTGGAGACAAAATTTTTGACTGAATTGGATAGCATGGAGCATCCAACATGTGGTGGCTGGCACACAACAGGAGTAAGAAGGGTGTTAAAAAGGTGTGTTTTCTTTTGAGGGGCTGTGTGTACTACTCCAGGCTAGACAAAAGGATTGTAAACTGAAGTACAACTCGGACAGACAAATGGTTTTATTTGGGTTTATAACTGTCAGGTTCAGAAATATAATGTGAGCAGACAAGCAGGGTTGAGAGTGGGCTGTTTTTACAATGCGAGAGCATTCAGTGTCTTATTATAGTTACAATAATTTCACAGTAATCTTTTTCTGTTTTTGAGATGCTGTTTGCTGGAGAATGGAAACGTTCTTTCCACTTAGTTGAGAGACTGTGAAATGATGGTTGAGTTGTGGGTTTCTCAGTGTTAGCAAAGTGTTAGCTCTAGGGAACTCTGAGAAAAACAACATGAAGTTATTTTTTTTTCAGAGTAGTTCCCCACGGTATAATTTTTAGTGCTTTGTTCCATCCAGTTTTAAATCACTCTGCTGCTGGAGCTTTTATTTGCCTTGCAGCTTTTCCACTAACAACTCTCACTGCTGGCAATTTGTTCTTAACTGCGTTTGCTAACTTCACTTGCAGCTAATACCATTCTAGACAACTGTAAAATTAATCTCTCTTCACAATCTCCATATGGTTCTAGTTGTTGCAGGCTTATCTAAGGCCTCTTTAGAAATCATCTAACTACACTATGCTATATATTTATTTTTAATTAATCCACTGAACAATTTCCTTAACCATTATTGTTGCTATAGTAGGAAGTCTGTGAGATCAGAAGTGCATAACCTTTGCAGCAGCAGGAGCTTGCATTAGCAGCTTCTCAGGATGCCTGAGGGCAGCACCTGATTTCCATATACATTTACACAGGATTTTAATCAGAAATAGATGCACATAGTGGCATTTATTTATAGAATGCTGTAAGTATATGCAACACTTCAGAGCACAGAATGTGGTTTCCCCATTGATTTTACTTTCCCTGCAGCCTTCAAAGCAATCTCCCTTAATCAGCCCAGCTGCTCAAAAGTAACATTTTCTTCTCTTTCTCTAAAAGCAAACAGATTTTATATTTGCCACCTATGATTTATTTGGGGAGTGGTGTGGAGATGACACTTGTTTTCTTTAATGGCTATATCTAACAGCAGGCATTGGCACCTTGTTTAAAATCACAATGATAATATTTCTTGTACCTGTCAGAGTGTTATTGGACAAAGCACACCATCTAGCAAACTATATGTGGTAGGCTCTGGGTTAGAGATTGTCTGAACTGGGATATCTCCCTTGGATTTATGTGCAGTATTCTCCATATTTCAAAACTTATTCAGGAGTCACAGTTATGGGTGCACATCCATACAATCAGTTAAAAAAGGTTTTAAAGTTTGCTCACTCAGTTGCAAAATCTTCCAATGTCAATATATCCCTGAATAAAGGTAAAAACCTGTGTAAGGCATCACTTTTTTTATATTTCCACATATTTAAAGAAATAGTGTACCCAGAGTACCCTTCATTTGCTGAGTACAAATGTGCTTTTTGTCTTTTCTTGTAATAGCTGTTACATAGACTTCTGTTGTTTCTTCATTAAGCAGCAGAAACTTTTTCACTGTAGATTTTTGGGTTATCATTCTGTCATCTCATGCCAAGCAGGCCAGACAGAGTTAGGGAATGAGAGGCTGGAGCACAGCTACCAATAAGAAGGTGTTCATCATCCTTAACTATCTGGAGATGATGCTGGATGACTGTGAGGAGACAGGAGTATATCTCAAGACTCTCATTAGCCATTTCCATAGTGCCAAGAACAAAAATGCCATGAACAGAGGGAGAAGCTAACTCTTTGATTGTTCAGATATCTTTATTTTTCATACTGTAAAATTATACTGGATATATCAGCTCAAATATACAAGTAGATTTTAAGAGACATTTTCAAGTGTCTCCAGATATTTTTTTATTTACAGTTACACATCAGAATACATTACTCAATGAGCATTAGCACACATTCCAAACTATAAACACTTTCCCTTGCTCAGGCTTGGCTTGTATGTCATAAAAAGATCTCATAGTTTTGGTAAGTCATTAGCCAGGAGCAGAACACATAATTTTATGTGCAGATGGGCTGTTCTCTTAGTGTGTTGCTACATACTTGTCTCCCTGAAGTGTGCTTTTGCTAACTTACTCGTTTATTTTTTTGAGTTTTTTTCTAGGGAAAAAAGCAGTTCATTCCTATAAACAGCCGGTGTCATGAGGGTGGGCACAATGGGCCCATGATGAAGACATTGTTCAGAAGTAGCGGATAGGAGAAGGGCTATATAAAGTTGTGCTCAGTTGAAAAGAGTAAAAATATAAAGCAAAGCATATTTCTAGACTTAATATGCTTGATAGGATATTGCCTATCTTTTTCATCTTTGTTTATTGTAGATTGCCTGCAGCGGTGATGTGATGCCACATAAAAAACGGGCTTTATAAGCAAAATTCAAGTGTGATTCTGTTAAGAGTTGTTCAGTGGCTTCTGAGGTTATTGAGATACCAATATTGTTATATTAGTTTATTTTTTTTCTGTGATTCTTGGCCCACAGATTTAGAAAATGGAGAAAGTTATTCCAGATGTCCAGAACACCTGAAGTACAGCTTTCCCTAAGTCACAGTGAAAAATATTTCTTCTGTGGCTATTGCAATCAAATGGGTATTTCCTTAGCCAAAATATGAATAGGAGGCATAAACAGTAGGGAAGAAAAAATTTTGCTTTTGAACTAGTCTCAGTCTTGATTCCAATTTAAAATTCTGTTGTCTCCTACCTATCTTTTTCATATCTTTGTGTGAACACAGTCACAAATGGAAGTAAAGTATCTAACAGAAAATGTATCACAGAAGGCCACCTTGTTATGACGTCAACAATTATTTCTTCCATTTATCTTCAGTAGCACATACAGCTACTGTCAAATTTGGTGGCATTAAAATTAGCTCTGAAGGAAATTTTGTAATACATGGTGCAAAATGATCTTTCACTCCATAGTATCGATCTTGCCATGGTGCTTGGTGCCACAGGATGGCAGTGTCCTGAAATACTGTAAGATACAAGTTGTAGAAGTTTGTGTTTTCTGCGTGGTAATTCCTATAAGACGTGTGAGACCTCTAGGGAAAAAATCTTTCTTGGCAATTGTAATTGGATTCTATCATAAATAGTAAGATTTGCCCCATTTTTTAAATTAAATGAGCTGTTGGTGCTAGACTGTCTTGATCACTCTTTAGCAAACTCCAGCCAGCCACATTAAAGAAAAAATACAGCTTTTATGGACTACTGGCCCTTGTTAATCCTTGCCCTTAATAGAGATTTTCTGAAAATATCTAAAAATAGGACTGTCGTGCTTGAATTTGAGCACTACCAATCAATCACAATACAAATTTTGAAATTTCAATGCAAATGAATTTAGTAAATAAAACTTTTTTAGTAACTGGAAGGCTGGGTATCTGCTTTACTACAGTTCATGGGTGTTACATGCAAAGATGCAATTAAACTGTAGGCTATGATTTTTTTTTGCTGTGCTAGACTAATTACACAATAAATTGTTCGTTCAGACTGTTTACTGCAGTGAAGTGGGTGAAAGATACATGACTGCTAGACCAGTAGCAAGCTGGTCAAATAGTCACATGTAACCACTGTTATTCTGTATCTTCCTGAGTTCAGTATCTTATTTATATGTCCTACAGGATTTGCTAGTGCTCTGTGCAGCCACTATGTTGACCAGTGTAGCTGCTGTTGATGCCGAGGTATCACTGGTGGAACAGTCTTTTCCAAGGGTTACCATTATGCCAGAATAATAGCTGTTCAGTCTTTGTTCATATGACCTTGCTACAAGCTGCTGCTGCTGCTAAAATATCTTAAAATAAGGGTCTAAAAAGCACTTCTCACATACTAACTTTCTGAAAGCAATTGAAGCTTCTAGATTTCTTGTACCAAGTGAATTTACAGCTACATTCTAATACACACAGCTTCTACCTAGCAGCCACTTTTATGACCTAATTGTTCTCTTCAAGGGAATAGCAGCAAAATCACATCATAGCAGTACTGTATAATTGACTTAAAATAATGCAAGAAGTCTTTAGCATCCAACTAGTTTTTAACTGAAGATATTTGCTTGGAAAATTCAAAATTTCTGTTGCAAAGTCATAAGTAATATGCCAAAACAGTTCAGCTTTCAAAGGACACCATGTACATACAGCAGATGCTTAATTTCTGTCTTTTAAGGTTACATTCCTCTACTTTGTTTTAGGAAGAAAACATGACTGTAACAGAAGATTTTAGTAGAGTAGAAAATACTTACCAAATGGAAGCAGAGGTATGTATTCAACCTAACCAAAAATAAAAGTATAAGAAGTGTGTCAATGACCTGTAAAAATTTGTAGACTATCTTTTCCCAGACCAAGGAGCATAATGGCAGCATAGTCCAGAAAAACTATTTGAGGGCTGCAGTTTATAGCAGAGTTCAGCTGCAGTCCTCTGTTGTGTGCAGAACTTGTTTTCTTCTCAGATGAATGTGTGCATTTTAAATATTACCTGATGCTACAGACTGATGTATTTGGTTCTGGGGCAGTGTGAGCAAACCAACAATTCTTAACTCTCCTTCACCCATAGCCCTTCCTCCCCTCTGCTTCTTGCGAGGAGGTGGTGAGTTCAGAAAGCCCCAGTTAATAACCCTTTTTTTTTTTTCCCAGCTCAGCTTTCTTTTTTTTTTTTTTTTTTTCCATTATTTTAGCTCCTTAGACCACAGCTGCACAGCACCTGGATTTTGGCCTTTTCTATACAACTCTGCCATCAGCTTGCTCTGAGTAAAGTAAAGCTAATTGTTTCTGGGTAATTGGCTCAGAATTTTGTGGGTAAAAAGTGCTCTGTGAAATGCAGATATTATGGGAATAATCCCATTTACTTCAGTATCTGCTAAAGGAAGTATATATTTGCACATTCATGCCATAGTAGGGAAATAAATGCTGTTCTTGAAACATTCACTGAGGGAAATTATGTGTGTTCAGCTAATGTATTTTTTTAGATCATAAAACTTTAATCACTACCCCGCAAGTTTAGAGATTCTTTCAAAGTAAACCTAGAAGCCTGCAATAAAATGATAGCTGCTTTATAGAGCTGTGGTTTACAGTCCTCTTAAACAAGTTCAGTCTCCTTAGTTTGCTTGCTTTAAGGCATATTGTCATCTAAATAACACCAATAAATGCAGAAATGATTAAAAATTTGGAGAATAAAATTTGGATTTAGATACTTAAATGGTGTGCTTCAGTGTCATGTTCTGAATGATTTCAGCTTTCTCATAGAGACACCTACTACCTTGAGAGCTTAAATCACCATTTTTTTAGATGACCTGTCCTTAAAAAATAATGAAACTCTATTATTAATTATTATATGAATTATTGTTTAGGCTACAGACAAGCTTAGACTTACAACTTCAGTCTTAAATGGTAACTTAACCAATTATCCACCTTCTGCTATTAGTTTTTATACAACAAGGATTAAATGTGGGAAGCTAATTGCTTGGATTTAGTGTTGATTTGTAAGCAGCTTGGACCAGCTGTAATTGCTGTTGCAGAGTTGTGTGGTTGCCTGGGACCTGGGAGTTGGAACTGGAAGAATCCAGCCACAGTGCTGCCGTTTTGGCTGCCTTGCACACTGAGGTAGCAGTGTGGCCACTCTTAATGCAGAGATCAGTCTCTCCTTGCTTCTCCATTTATGTATATCCTTGTTTCATTAGTACAGCTTCATAAACCAATGAAGTTCTGTTGGCCAACATGTTTGCCTACTTTAGCAATATAAATGAATTTAAAACTGTCTTCCACTCAGTTCTCTATTAAAGAGTTTGCCATTATATCTGTGTTACATGTAAAGTCTTGGAAATCCTGTGTTGCCTCATTCTACAAACTCTACACCATTTGTCTCCTGTAAAAAGATTTTAGAAGACTGAAAAATTCCCAGGCAAATAGCTATTTAAAAGTATAATGAAGAATTGAAGATACTATTTCAACTGTAAGGAGATAATTTTAATTCATGCTATAACAAAGGAAAATATGCAGAAAAATGAAGTTGCATATAAGATCACAAAGCTCTGTAATATCTTTATCATAATAGTTCATTTATTGCATGATGTTCTCATGGGAGGAAGATTATGTTGGTTTTATGAATTTCTTAATACACTTGCCTCCTTATAAACCATAACTTCTTGTCATTTACAGCCTTATCGAAACCTTGGAATTTCTCTAATAGTTTTGCATAGCCTCATGTTACTTTTTCAGACTTTTTAACCTTAATAACTGATGAAGTTAAAACACTTCTTCGCATTTTAATGTTCAACTATTCTCTGTAATTGTAAATGTAATTTATTAGATGTAAATCTAAATGAAAATTGTGATTTTTGTAGGAGGGGGAACAGCTAAAGTAGCTATTGCTCAGTTGTTTTCTGCCCTTGAGGGTACCTGATCAAGTGCTTCTTTTTCAAAAGTGAAGTTCCTGAGTGCCCAGAAGTGCCCCAGTCTGAGCAATTTATCTCCTGCTTAAGACCCATAGTTCTTATGTTTCATCATTCTTTTGTTTCATCTCCTGGAAGGAACAGATCTTGTAAATGCTGATGGCAATCTGGAAAATACTATGACAGTCCTCATAGTGACTCTTTCCACAAAATACAGCTATGACAGTTTTCTGGAAAAACATCACAGGGGGATGTATGCTTTTTATATGTATGGCAAGTACTCCCACTGAAAAAAAACTGTAGGTGTAGATCCATCTTCAGTCTCTGTTCAATTGACACTGCACCTCTCAGAGCCACTGAACTAGTGCAAGGATCCAAGCCAGGATCAGGTACTGCATCAAAAGGTTATCAAGGGTAACAAGATGAGAGCATTAATTACTTTGTGATAATTGCCAATGAATACATTTTACTTTACTCTGTATGTGAAGTATCTCCCTCCTCACTCACTGAGAGACTCAGCTTCCTTGAATTATCTCATTCACCACAAGGTAGATCTCTGGTATTCACACAGAAAGCTGCTGCAGTGCATCTGACACGCTGTTACTTGTATTTCTGTGTCATACCCTTTCACTGGGGTAGAGTGATCCATAGACTGCAGCAGCCACGGGGACAACTGTATGTCACAGGTGTTAGCAGTCAAATTTTCTTCACTGTAGGATTTTTCTTTGACTTTTGTGGAAGCTGTATTAGTATGCAAAAAGAAGGGCGCTGGGTATAAGAGGGAAGGTGAACCTGACTCATGGTGAGAGCACTGTACTGGAAGGTGAGGTTTTAGTTTTTCTAAACGTAGAGTTAGGGATCCAGGATTTCTGATTGCTGAATGCTGTATCAGCTTAGTGTTGTTGCTTCCTTTAGTCATGGCAGCTGTGCTTTGCCACAGAGAAAAGCTGGCTCCTACCTGGAAAGTTGCTACTTGGCTGGAGTTTCCACCAGGAAAACTGCCGGGCTCTGGATCCAGGGCTGATAGTGATTCCTGCTTCATAGCATTTGGGAAGGAGCTGAATTCCTAGTGCATCTTTATTTAATACTTCTTAAAGCCAGAGACAACTGGCTGTTTAAATTGTTTTTAATCCAACTCTGAAGTGCCCAGTTCCCTCTAAGCACTGCAGTGAGTCTGTTCAGACAACAAAGGATTTGGAGCCCACTGCAACCTGAACTGGGCTTGGTTTAGCTTAATCTCATAGCTGAGGTTTCTTTAACCTAATGCTTGGAATTAAAATGTAGTTTTCCTTTGTGCACAGTTTTCCACATCATTTTGCTTGAGCACTTCTGCATAATTAGCGTCTAGCAATCTAAGAAGTGATGAACCAGGATGTGTATAGTCATGTGCACCAAAGAGCACATTCATTCTTCAGGTTGCCTGCATTCCAAGAATGCCGTATTTCCTCATAAAGGGATTTCTTAATCCTCAGTTTTAAAGCATTTAATGAACTTCTTTCTGTTGCAAACCTAATACTAGTCCCTAGGGCTATATGGAAGTCTTATAAGTTCATAAATGTTGGAGTTGTATACAGGACTAGTATGTTTAGTTATCATATGGATGTCTGGCCTTATACTGATTTAAATAAAAGTGTTGAATCATAATGGAAAATGTTACTCATATGATGTCTGTTCACTCACTCTCAGGTCTGTATCATATTCAGTGATTTTGGAAAAATGCAGAATGTTTGCAATCTACTCACTGAAAAGTTAGGAACCTCTGTTACCATCAGTCCACCTCATTTCTACCATACACCAGAAGCCATAGACACCCTTCGGTAAGTTTTCACACATGCCAAAAATCTTACAGCCTCAGTTAATACATAATTTATGTTGTTTACAATGAGAGCAAGTAGTTTCCTTCACACCTATTAATATTTATGTTAGAGATTTCAGTATTTAAGTATAACTTATAAATTAATGCTGTTCAGCCTAGAAGATAGAATTTGTTCTTGTGTCTTTGCAAAAGCAGAATGTAATAAAAAATTATTTTTCCTCTGGAGTATAATCTGCTGTGAATCTTAGGTCAACAGAATTTGGCCTTGATTACATCATCATGTGTAGATTTCATTTGTATTTATTCATGAGGTTGCAAGTGTGTTACCAGGTGTAGATAATTTTAAGTACCCTTGCCAACTCCCATTACTGTTAGCTGCTGACATGATCTGGAAAGAACTATGTGTGGCACTTCCTCAGCATCAAAACATCCTGCCCTGAAGCTCACAATCTTGGTCTGTTTTTTAAGCATTGACTATTCACAGTCCAGGCTGCTCCCACTGAGTGGGAGGGACAGCAGGAAGTTAAGTCTTGGTTGGGGTTTTGCCTCTTTTCAGAATAGAACTGCCTGGTCCAAGAAGCAAGCTTAATTAGCTGCTGTAAAAGGTTCCAGAGATGCCAAAAGTGAATGACAGAGGTATCTACAGGAGAGCAGGAAATATGGCCAGTGAGGTTAAGCAGGTGTTAGCATGCCTTGCAGCTGAGCCACTGAAATGCCCGGAGCAGGGGTTGAACTCTTGCTCTGCACGACTCAGCGTGGATGCCGGCAGCATACAGGCGTTAGAAATGCTTGATCTCATCGGAACTAGTGAGGGTGCTGACATTTCCTCCACACACTCTCCCCCCTCACCCAAGCTGTGGCCCAGAAGCTGGGGGAAGGTGGTGTGCCTTAGCATCTCTGCAGTTACAAAACCCACCATGTACCAGTGTTCCTGCCAAGCTTTTTTTTTTAACATCAGTTGGACCTGCATGTTATTGTGCTGCTGCTTCTACCTCTCAGCCGTCAAGTATGTGTCACTGCCGTTGGAAACACGCGCCGGAAAGCCCAGGAAGTATGTCGACTATTTGGCCAGGCATTGGGAAAGCCTTTATTGATAAAAGAAGAAGAAACAAAAGAATGGGGAGGCCACATAGACAGTCACCTGTCACACTCTGCTGATTCACAGACTCTGCAGGAAAGAATCCAGAATGCTACTGCTTATGCTTCTTGTAGAGTGTTTGCTGTGTTTGAGATAAAGGGAAAAGAAAACAGGAGAAGCAAGATGCTCTAGAAACCTTCAAATCCTATGCATTTTCTCAATAAAATTTTTATGCTTTCTTGTGCTTTTTGATGGTTTTTTACTTCATACTTATGTTAAGTCCATACCTTAAAATTAAGGTTACAGTTAATTCTCAAAGTACGGCTCACAGCTGCTTATTTTTGTCCCCTAGTCCCTGTAAAACAGTGAGATACCTGATGTGCCAAACATTTGGCACTCCTGGCTGAACCTGCATTACATTTATACCTTTCCTTCCAAAACTGGAAGGAAATTAATCCCCATTGCTGAGTCATGGCAAACTGAACATGCAACATGTTCACTTCTGACAAAATTGAGTGTTCAACATAAAACCTGCTTAGGAATGTTTTATTTAATTACAGGAAAAAATACACATTTTATCCTGGTGTCTGTTTGCTCAAGTTTAAAAAGGACATCTGTCATCTGGACATACATTACATGTACAGGCTCTGAAGTACTCAGTCATGAGGGTAGAGTTTTTTCAACCATGGCTGCATAATGTATTTTGATCCATCGTATCCACTGAAGTAGGTTTCCATATCAGAGTGATACACCTGGGAAAAAAATATTTCAAGTTGAAGAAGCATCAGAATTGGCAATAAGTATAAACTGATACTTAAACAAATTATTGAAATTACTACACTGTTTGAAAACTCCTGAACTCCTGATGAGTTTTTAATGTACACAGAGGTACTTCCAATGCCACTTTCTGTGTACCATAACCAAATTTCTGTCATCAGAATAGCAGCTCTCTCCAAATGTTGAACAGATCTCATGAGATGTTACAAGCTAGATTTACACCAGCGTCAGTGCTTAAAATCAGCACTGTTTCTTGCTGAAGTAGTTCCCACTCATGTTGCTGTTAGAGGTATTTGGTATTTCTTTTAGCTGGATCAGTTATCTAATCCAAGAGGCAGCAGGAAGAGTAAAGAAGCAGTGGGGGAAATGGTGAAGACAGAGCCAGGTGATGGCCTTAGGTCCAACATGGAGATGCAAATCCACCAAGTACAGTACAAGCCTCGTCTTGAAGCAGGAAGCCCACAGGGAACGGCTCAGAACTGTCAGCTGGGAAAGGGTCATGACAAGTCTGGAGCATTTTCTGATCTCTCAACTCTTCAAGTAATTACTGTGTCTATTAGGCTGTACAAAAGGCTGAGTGAGGACAGTCTTCAGACCTTTTGAACTTGAGGCATGACTCACCATCTGTTATTAATCTCAGCGAGACAACTTTGAAAGACCTGGTTTTGTGAGCTTGTTACCAGCAGTTTCTCTAATAGTCTGTGTGGAGAATTAACCTGCCACGCAGGTGAATAAAGCAATTTGATACCATAAAAGCTAATTCCACAAGGTAAATATTTAAGATGAAGTATCTTAAATGATACTGAGATGTTAAATGAGATGTTTCTCTCCATGGAATATAAAGGAGACTGAAGGTAGCCAGCTAACTGGCATAGTGAAAGGTGCATTTTTTAGACAATGTGGGCAGAATCCAGCTTTAATTATTTATGATACTCATCTGGAACAGCATAGGCTGTGCTCCTAAATTCAGGCATGTTGGCATAGTCTGTATTACAGTTGGTGGCTTAAACAGAATGGACTGAACTAAGGCTTCTCCCAAATAAAAGGTGATTGTGTCACACTGTGGTTGAGAAGGGTCCTTTATGTGCAACGGCACAGTTTTGAGAGAGAGCATGAGAGTCTTCAGGCCAGTCTGACTTACACAACTCCTTTGGGAGGTTTTCCCAAAAGGCAGAAGATCCCAATTTGAATCTGCTCTGTTCGACTAGACCAAGCATCTCCTGTTAGATGAATAGTTCACCTACTTGCTGTTATTTTAAATATACACCCTGCCACTATCCACAAAGAAGGCATCCACAGCAGCATAGGGGTCCCTTGCAAAAAGCCACATGTAAGTGGCAGGCATGCCTGCGGGCTGTTTTCTGGATCAGAGCCTCAGACTAGTTTAAAAAACAGCGTGCCTTGCATAAGCTGGGAATCAAAAGCTACTTCAACCCTGATACACAAAACAGAGTTTTTTGCTCTCAAAGAGTTTTGCAGGTAAGAAAGGAGACATTCTTCAGTCTGGGTAGCAGCTGAGGAGGAGCTGTTTGACTTGCAGGTTTTTCAGAGCAGAACTGAAACCAACATGCTCTGGATGCCCAGAAATCACAAAACAAAAGTCTGTGTCTGCAACAGCCTATACATAATGGGAATCAAGTTGCTCAAAGACTACAAACCTCAGTAGTTGGATACTTTAAAGTGGTATTACCTGAGTTTGGTCATTTTTCAGCTTCCAAAAACCTATTCTTGAAAGTACAGCAGTAATTTGTTTATCTGCTTTTTGTATTCATTTTCACTACTTCACATCGTAGCTAGTATCTATTAAGCCAAAGGTCAGCCAACTTTTAAACATACAGGATAACAATCAAGTTGCAACTGAATAAAAATAAATACTACCTCTAATCCCATAATAACTGTTATCTCTTCCTCAGGAACATAAGCTGTAGATTTGCCAGATCCATTTGCATTGTTAATTAGAATTCGATAGTGAGGAGTATCTTTTAGATCCTGCAAAAATAGAAAGAAAATAAATAGCCTCAAAGAGAGAAGATGACTAAAGATTACATATTATAATCAGTTAACTTTCAGTGGGTTTACAGAACCTAAATCTGCTCAAAATACATGTATATATATATGTGTGTGTGTGTGTATATATATGTATGTGTGTGTATATACAACCAGTTCTTTTTTATGATTTTACCAATGTCAGAATTAAATATAAAGCAATTAGAACTGCAACACAAAGTTCTTGGCATACCTAAAATGTTTTTTAAGAAGCAAGAGTATAATTAACCTTTTTTTTCCCACAGACCTTGCAAGAAATGAGACTTATCATTTCAAAGCTAAGATATTTCAAAGGCAATATCCTTGCTTTTTGTACATAGGCCCCATGGCCATCTGCTACCACCCTTCTTCCTTCACAAGTGACAACTGAACTCCAGAGAGGAAGAGACAAGTTCAGATCACAACGCTACCTCCAACAACCATGGCTCCAATCCTGGAGAGAGCTAAGGCAACTTCTATACGTGTGTGTATATATATATATGAATCTTCAAACAGAGAAGCGCCTATGAAAACAAACCCTAGGCCACCAGGGATATTCGCTGCTACCCATAAATATTCCTGCCCAAAGTAACCCACAATCTGAACACAAAAAAGTGATGGATGAATACAGATGGAGTTTATGAAGCAATCAGTATCGATCAATGAACAGGCAGTGGCCTCTGTTCAGTGATTTCATAAAGATCTGGAAGTCAGAGGAAGGCAAGGAAAAGTTGGGCTCAAAACTGAGTTGGGCTGATGTTTTGAGGGATTTACAAGGACCAAGCTTAGTAAGGTGCTGTCTAGATGTCAGAAGGCATTTTGCAAGGTGCTTATGACATGTTAAGCAAGGGCAGTTAAAACCCCAAAACCAACAAAAGACACTAAAACACCTTGTCATTGCTCTTGAAATTAAAACAATAAAGATGAACACAAGGCCACTGGGACAGCAGAACAATGTAAGGTACATAAAAAGAATCTGTGTCTGCTGGGAAATTCTTGGAGGTTCAGCTGGTGATAACACTACTGAGAGGAGGAAAGAAAGCAAGGATGCAGGTCTTTTAGAAGCCAAAGATGAGCAACAATTGGATAAAATTACATCAGGGAAGGAACTAAATGCACAAAATGGGACTGAATGTCAGTTCCCAGCTGAACATGAATTTTCTGCTATAGGTGAAGATTTTCATGTTTTCCTCATTTTCAGTCCTGTGACTTAATGACAGTGTCTTCCTGCCACTTAAGGAGCCTGTTAGTGGTATGCAGAGTATGCAGCACTGCATTATCAGATTAGAACTGTCAACAAAGATTTAGCATCTGATTTTCAAATACAAGGACTTAAGCAAGAGAAATTCAAAGGCTTTAAGAATTCTAACAAAGATGTGTTTCTAAATAGATTTACAGTCTAAGTAACCAGATCCTCAAAAACATTGCTTTCTCACTGAAACTCATTAAACACAGAGGATTACTTGCATTTCTTAGGTGCAGTGAAGATGCCACCAATTATGGCTAACCAGATAAAGGACTTAGCAGCTTCTCAACTTAAGTAACACAGCAGGAGAAATCCATTTAGACATCATAGATGTCTGAAGTACCAGACATTGGTACTTGAAACACAACACTGTGTATAAAAGGCGAGTAGTTTTAATTTGAGGTATGTCCACTACAGCCCTGAGCAGCAAAGCTTAGCCACTCAGTGGTATAAAAGCCCAGCTGTACTGGGACCACCGTGCAGAAGCAGCAGTACCACTCAGCTGCACAGGTGATACAGAACTCTGGAGTATTTTCCACTAGGATAGCAGAAAGTTGGTCTGTAACAGGTTTGTGGGGGTATTTTAACCTGAGTTATTCTGTGTATATATTAATAAAGCAAGAGCTTAGTACATTCAAACCTGTTTCACTGGAGGATATCTGGGTTGTAGTTGTTTTGGAGCATTAGGTTTTGCATCCCATCCAACAATGACTCCTGAGTAACCAAATCTTCTGTGAATTATTACCTGGCCCACACTGAACTTAACATATTCAGGTTTTGGACTGTGAACATAAGTTGATTCTAATTTAACAAAGAAAGAAAGGATAAAAGTTTGATCAGTTATAGTAAACATTTTAACAGACATTATTCTGACTTCTACCTGAAGAGAAATGACAGTTAGATCAGTAGGGGAAGTAAAGAAGAACAGTTTTTTTCCCCCCAGAATATTAATTAGGATATTTTACAGAGGAATACCCACTAAGAAAGACACTTTTCTATTTGTATGCATTGACAATTACTTATTAATTACTTACACACAGTAATTACAGTGCTTACATGTGGTTACTTATTGTGACATTTTTTGCCAGTTTAGGTCACAAAATTCTTCTGTTTAGTCTGATTAGGTACTTTTTTCTAGGAACAAAGTGGTCAACTATTTATTTTTCCTTTTATGAAATTTATCTAAATCAGTTCATTTGAATCAAGTGAAAGTTGTACCACTGTTTCATAGATCAATACAAAATACATGCACATAATTAGATCATATTAATACTATTACACACCACGGGGGAAAGGCCTTAAATTTTATATCTTCTGTTTTGTTTACTGAGTATTATAAATCATATTTAGAGAGATGAAAAAAAGAAACAGTCTGCCATTTACAAATTAAGTATGAAAATCCACTATAGAAGCCTTATAGACAACATCATGAGTAAAATACTAAAGGATTGCAAAAACTTCAATACCTGCAAAATAAGGATGGGGTTTTGCTTCATTGTCACCACTTTTAGTTTTGTTCTCTCCATAGTACCAATTCCTAAAATATAACATTAATAACTCAACATATAAAAAACTTCTTTAGAAGCCGAGTTTTAGTAATAATCAGAAGGTTAATTGTCTTAAGCAGAATACTGCAAAGCCTTTGATACAAACTTCTCTACAATTTGAAGCCTGCATGAGTTTTACATTAAAAACACTTCCAGGGAATGCACTATAGAAAGGAATTTGTTCCAACAGGAAAAAAAAAAATGAGTATGAATCAAATCTCTTTGAATACGTTACTCTACAGTTGCATTAGAATTTTTATATCAGAGGAAACCCACTAATTTTATAGAGGTAAGCAAACACTACTCTGTACTCTGACAGCATGATTCTTCAGTATCTTTTGTAAAGTCTTTAAAAATTGGTTTATGCTGGTATGGACAATGAGTCTCTGCCTAAGGCTGCAGTAGGCATAGCTTTTCCTTCTGCACTAGACTGAATTTCATCTGAATTTAAAAGGTGGAGGCAGTGTAGGGGACATATTTAGAGAGGGGAAATGGCTAATGTTTTTCATTGCTATAGTGAAAAAGCGAAAGTGTAAAGAAACAGTGAGAAAATGGAACATTTCCTTCTGCTGGCAAGGTAACAGCAGCTGTCTATGAACAGAGGTGTTTGGGTAACATCCTCCATCCCTACTAGCCAGCAAATCACTGGTGCCAAAGAACTACAGGTTTGTCCAAGTCTCCTTACTCCTCGATGGTGTCTTTCAGTCTTAACTCCCTTCACCCTGCCTGGAAGAAAGTGAGAGCAGGTTCCTGTGCAAACAATGCTTTTTACAGAAGTTTTGGTTTAGCTCAAATGTATAAAAAGACTTTAAGCTGACAAATACCTCTTAACAAAAAGAGGTATGGGAAAAATCTTAACGTCCAACTGCTTTGTTAAAAACAGCAGCTAATATGGAAGGTCTCAAATGACATTATTTTTAGGATAACCAATTCTTCTTAAAATATTCAGAAGACACAAACAGCTCCAACTATATACAAATAATCAGTGGATCATGTGATCTTTGTAGGCTTTATCTTTAGATATGCATGGAGCTTTCCACAAAGTTGAAAAGCAATTTATGGTGAACCTAAGAAGAGCACAGTTGCTAATTCCATTCACAGATCATTCCCCTGGGTTTTGCTAGGAAACTACATCAGGATCATCCACAGTTCAGAGGACTGGACACCCTTGATTATTGTACATACATCGAGAGTAAAGAACCTCTGAAGGTCCATGCAAAGTAAAACCTTTGGAGTATTTCTACTCTACAAGAATTAAATCTCACAAATAAGCCCTTCAATGAACCAAAAGAAATCCATGATCAATCTTCTTAAATTAAAATTGTATGTATGTATGTATAAACAGATATAATTTTACTTTTTCTAGACCAGTCATTGTTACATGGCCAAATATCAAAATTGCACTTCTTCTTAGCCCACAGATTTTCTGTCTGATTCCTAATTCAGATTTTCTTGAGTTACAATATACAGCATAAGATACCCATCCAGTGCTTTAGCACCTGATCCTACGAACATGTAGTTGCTTACAGTCATTAATTTAGCTAAGTGTTCTGCCTTCAGATAAATTTCAAGGATAACATGTACAGGATTACTGCCATGACATGAGTTACGTTTAGTTTCACATGGAGTTCAGTTTTGATGTTTGTGTTAAATAAAAGCACAAGGTTTTCTTCAAACTGGTAGAAAGTTCCAGATCAGTCTCAAGAAGCAAATGAGAGATACTTCCTCTTTGTCACTTATTTCCCCCACCACCAACACACCTTCCTGCTCAGAACAGATCATGTCTGAAACCTCTTTAAGTGCAGACGGTAACACCCTACCTTATCTTTGAGAGCCACTGCTTTAAATGATCTGCCCACTCATCCAGAGCCAAGTAAGGTCTTGTTGAGATGCTCCAAGAGGCAATTACCCTTTAGGAGTAAAAATCATCATCATACTGTTTTTAAAACCTTCTCTAGTATTCTTACACAGATTTTTAATATTTAAACTTTGAAGTTTCACTTCTGTAGCAAAAAGGAAGAAAGGGTCAGTGACCATGAACGATTTCTCCTCAAGATTAATATCAACACAGCAAATTAATATTCTTTCAGTCATCACTTGTACCAGTAAACCATATGTAAATTTTGGAAAATACCATTTTTCATTACAAGATTGCTTTCTTCCTGTACTCAGACCACAGGAATTGTTAAATTACATTCAGATTCTGCAGCTTCAACTGCTATTTGAGACTAGTGAGCATGAGATATTTTAAAAATGGTGTACATAATCAAAAGACTATTAAAAAAAGCTTGCAGGTTTTTGCATAAATCTAAATAATAAGTGGTTGGCTCATGCTATGAGGCCTGAAAATTATTTCACTCTGGGTCTTTATGCATAAGCCAAGCTTAGTTCAACTTAGTTCTCTTAGTTTTCATCAGGCCAATCTTTTGCTCTTCCTGCTTCATGTATTTGAGTTCCACAGACGAACCACACAGCGAGCACACTGCACAGGCCACATGTACAACTGAGTCTCTCTTTGCATGGTTCATTTTCAAGATGCTAATGTCTGCCAATGGACAATGCTATCAAGAATTTGCATCTGATGCAATAGTCTCCACTTTTTATGTGGAGATACATGTGTGGGATTCTGTCAATACACAGCTTCTTAATTCATAGACAAAATGGCATGCCTTACTTAACTCTCTTCAGTGTCACTGCCTTAAGTAATTTACTGTGAATGGATTTTGTTGGTTAAGAGTGTACTGAGTCTACTATGCAAGAAAATATTTTATAACAGTAAATGTCAAAAGGTGACAGAAAATCAGAACTAATGTTACTTAATCAATGCTTAATTTTCATCTTTTGAAATGGACATAACCCTTAGTAACATATATTGGAATGTCAAAAAAAAAGAATGAGATTAAAGTGCTCATGCAGTTTATTAAGATTTTTATGTGAAGAAAACAATAATTGCTGTTTGAATTTTGAAACTAAATACAGTCATATTAAACCACAAAAATGCCTGAGATATGATTTAAATGTTGGTTTTGTATAGGAACAGCCAATCCACCCACACTCCAGCTTTCCAGGACAAAGTGTCATTAGGGATGAGAAAAGAACTCTCTTACAAATAAAGGCAGTAGGGAAGGTGAGTCTTACAACCTTTCTGTTATTTGGATGCGCTCGGCAGAATCCGTTCCATACCACTGACATATGAAATACTGTGCAGGAAGAGCAAAGAGCAGCATGGAAATCTGCAGAGCAGCAGCTGCGTTGATGTGAGGCATTCCAACAGGAAGTTTCGTCAAAGACACTTCACTGCTCCCTACTCTGAAAAGAGGAAGAGAAAAATTTAAAAAAGAGACAGAATAGGTAGCTGTGAGCTTTGCTAGGTGTGTAGTACTTAATAGTTTCCTTCAGGCTGCTTTGCTGGTTTATAACATAACGTATAATCTGTACTCAGGCATTTTGGTTACAGCTAGAGCACACTTAATTTAGGCCACTTTAACTGCGTTAAATTTGACGGTACTTATAAAAGCTAATAAAAGACTGAAGTAGACTGCCTCACAAGACAAAGCAAAAACCTGTTTTTAAGATTTGTATAGGCATCTTTGTCTGTAAACAGAGAGGGAAAAAAAAGAAAAAGGAACTGGGAATTTGGTTGTCCAATTTGAAGTAAAAAACTGCTGTCCATAAATCAAATTTGTTGTGCTGCTTTGTCAACTGATTCAGCGTGTTAAACATGTCTGGCATACCAGATTGATGGCCTCAAAAATACTCTGTTTGGATTCAGTGATAGTTGCACATGTGACAAAACTAAGGGGTTTTTCTTTCAGGTTGAAGGCACTTACAGTATTGTACCAGGTTGATAATGTGCCACAGTCCCACCATTAGGTTAGAAGGGATTTGCCATCACCTCATTCCCATAGGCACGTAACACCATAGCAGTGCATATTCATGACTCTTTCCTCCTTCCCCAAACGACCAAGATCTTCACCTGAGCAGCACGTTTACTGTCTTTACAGCTGGGAGGCTTTTTCAAATCAGAACTAAAACGTGCTGAAATCTGAGAGTTGTGTCCTTGACACAGGTGTTCTCAGAGTACCAGGTTTACTGCAGCATTCACCCACTCTGCTCTGCAGGAGCCTCTCTTGTAGCTCCTGCTCTCTCCTGGAGTGGAATACTCAGCCTGCAAGCAGAAGCAATTCACCACAGTTGTGTTCAAGTTGCTTCTAGATCCTGCTGTCCTAGTTTATGTAATATGCAAAATAATTTTGGTTACTGTAATATGCACAGCACTTGTGCACATGGAAAAGTAGATTTATGAAAACTGCCCAGCAAAAGTAGTCAAGATCACAAAACAATGCCAAAGCAGGCTCAAAGAGTATTTGCAAATAATATTGAAACATCTTAATGTGTGATGAAGCCTTACCACAAACTGTATTTTTCACTTCTGCATTATCTGCTTTAGAGCCACCAGCAAAGAAAAAAACATTTCCTAACCTCCTTGTAGACCTTATCAGTAGTTGTACTTGTTTATCCTTGTCTGTTGGGGGTAGAGGAAGAGTCACAACTCAAATGGCCATGAGCACGCTGCGGGGCCAGAGGGCTGGACAGGACCCGGGGATGGCTACCGCGCTGCGCACAGCACTTACACAGCACGGCAGGACAACTCTGCCGCTGCTCATCTTCCTCCTGCTTCTAAAATCGGCTTTCTGAGAGCCGGATCCCCCAAAGAGAAAGCATATAGAATTAACCCAAATCAAAACATTTTTGTGCATATTTGGAAGCACCCGAACACCCGCAAGAAGCGTGCTGTGCCTGCAGCCCCTGCTCCAGCCCTGGCCGCGCTCCCAACTGGGGCTGCGGGCAGCAGCTGGGGCCGAGGGGAGGGTTGTGCCCTCCCCTGCACAACAACGCCCAAAATGACCCTGGAGAGGCGAGCGCCGAGCCCAACCCCGGGTCAGGCGCTCAGGAGGGTGGGCAGGTTGTCCGCTGCCTTCATCTTTCCCTCGCACAAAAAGCTCTCAGGGCAGACGGGATTACAACTTCTTAATCTCAAAACACCCGTGTGGATTTTACACCCCGACAGTTTTAAAGAGATAAAGATATAAAAAGTTTTAATTTATTTCTGCAGGCTAACCTAAAGAAAATAAATTTTCAACTTCCTTACCTAGGAATTTTTTTCTGCCAGTGTGGACAAGCGTCTTGAAGGGGTCACAGATAGAAGTCCGGCGGTAGTTCTCTCATGTGAAGTTTATGCAAAATGTGTCCTAACACAACCCTGTAACCCAGCCTCACGTTGTGCCTCTCACCGTGCTCTTGGTACATCAGAGAGCAGCTGGTGCGGCCCCTGGGCCCGGCGTTGTCACAGCTGGATGCCGGCACAGCTGAAGCAGGAGCGTTTTGACTCTCAGTGCCCAGCAGAAACTCCGGGGCTGCCCCTGCTGGGCTGCTGCAGCGGGGTCAGACCCAGCCATGAGCCTCATCGTGCCACAGAGTTCTTTGGTGTAAATTCAACACCCACCAAATTTGCTGCTGGCACCCAGATCAGACTGAGAGCAAACAAAGGAGGCAGACTCAAAATGCAAATGATCCAGAGAGATCAGAGCAATGGGAACATTGAAGAAGAGAAATTCATCAGTAGCAAACATCAAGCCCTACCAAGGGAAAAGAAATGTTCTACCCATCACTTCTCACTGAGTATAGCTCTCCAAAGGGCAAGACTCTGAAAAAACCCAAAATGGGATCAAGCCATACCTAGTGAATATGTGAGAACTAAGAGGTCAGGCCTAGGATGGATTTTTTTGGTGATGGATTTAAACCAACAAGCAACATGGCAGGAATACTCACTTGAAAACTCACATGAATATTTGCCTAGACTAGAAATACAAATTCTACTTAAGAAAATAGTTTTTTAATCATAGATGGTTTGAGTTGGAACAGACCTTGTCAAGGGCCCTTAATCCAACCCCCCGCAATAAGCAGACACATCTTCAGCTGGATCAGGTCAGAGCAACCTGTTTGTCTCACACAGCCTGCCCCAAGAACAGACTCGCTGGGGCCATCGTGGCTGTGTTTCCATCACACCAGCCCAGGCTGCAGTAAATACTGGGACCTACCAGCTCCCTTTGTGCAAAACCTCAAGAGCCACTTAAACACCTCAGGGAGGCTGAAAGTTTTAAAGCATGACTCAAGCAACTTATTACTACCCAAACATTAACACATCTTCTTAATACAAATCAAATTGCAAGATGAAAATGTTTCTTTTACAAAACAGGTTATTCCCCATGTGCTTGAGCAACGATTTTCAGTGCAAGAGCCAGAAAGAAACCAGCCCTGTATGCTCTGTCATGACTCAGAGGTGGGCAAAGAAGAGGCCAAAACCTGAGGAAAATTACAACTTCATACATTAGCATGCAAGAAAAAATAAACAATCCTGATCATAACACAATTTCAGATGATCGGCTCTTTCTAAAGACAATGTTTATGTGAATTTTCTAGTATTTTTACCTAAATAATCACTATTTCCCTTGTAAACTTAATAGAGCAAAAGAGTTTAACATGAACACACATTTTACAAACACTTTACAAGCATTAAACAGCATAAAAGTTTTGAGTTCTATATATTTAATCTTCCCTATGTACTTGTGCATGCAGATAAATTGGTGTCCGTGAAGGACAGCAGCATTACAGACTGCACATAGACCCAGCTCCTCATGTTGAGATTCTAGCTGGGTAAAAGTAGTCAGTGTATTGAGAGGTGATCACTAATTAAGGACTTCTAAGTAGATCTTTTTTTTGTTTAAGTTCTTGGCAGCTGTATTCCATTTTTTATCAGTTCATGGAAGCTTACTTAATCTTCCTTAATAATTAAGAGAATTCAAGTTTTGAATAAGGTGCTCAAATTTCAAAAAAATAACCCCACTAGATTTCTCTGCTACAGAATACAAATACAGTAATTCTTTCTAATATTTTAATCATGTTCTAACCAGGTTTGCATTTTAAGTTATTATCTTTATTATTTTGAATATCCTTGTTCAAAGTCAGGTTTGGAGATCTGAGACAAAACACAAATTAACAGCTGAGGTTGCCTGGCTCTTGAATGCTAACATTGTTTGAAGCCAGTACCTCCAGGAACAGGCCTCTGCAGAAATTTGATGCTGAATGAGTTGGTTACCTGCCTCTGCTCTTGCTTTCTCCTTCTTGTTTTTTTTGTTTTGGGGTTTTTTAGGGGATTTTTGGGGGGTTGGTTTTTTTTTGTGTGTGGGTTTTTTTTGTTGCTTTTTTTGGATTTTTGTGTTTTGTTGAGTTTTTTTTTGGTTGGTTGTTTTTTTGGTTTTTTTTGTTTGGAGTTGGTTTTTTTTTGCATTTATGTATGCAGCTAAAGTAAAATGACAGGCCAACAGACCAAGTTTAGATTTAGACCAAATCTTCCTATTTCAGAGACAAGAAAAGGAAGCACAAAGGAAATTTGTATGGCTGTTACCATACTAGGAACATCATTCCTAAATTCTCTCCTCTATCTGCCCTTCAGTGCTCACACAGATTTCTAAGTATAAGAGAAGATTCATAAGTTCTCACTGCAGTCCTATCAAACTGTAAATTAAGCCTCTTGCAAAGATTTAGCACAATATTTCTCTGAGCTAGAAAAACAACTAGACGTTTTGGGCTTTGAGTTTCCTGTTAACAGTAGTAAAAGCCACAAAAATTATATTTTGCATTAGAATTTGTTGTACAGTAACTCAATTTTATGCTATTTAAATTCCAGTCACATTGTCCATTGCTTGATGGCAGTTGCTTTATTTTCACATTTACTTCAACTAGCAACATTGATTAATTTTTAAAGCCATTACACTTTGCTCATTTATCTTTGGGAAAAGTGACAAACATTTTTAGCAAAGCTCATATTGATTGCTAGAGCAGGAAAGAACACAGGCTTTGGTACAAAAACTTTCCACCTGGAAAGCAAACTGGTCAACTCCAATGATCACACAATTTCCTTCATTTTATGAGTGTTATGATCTGTCCTGGTTAGAGAGTTTAGCAGTGTGGACGTGACTGAGTTGCTATTCTACACCAAACACAGCATCACCCAGACATAGACGCAGCAGGAAAAGCCAGGCGCCCCTACTGGGTGTTGGCCACTTTTGCTTCTCCTGCTCCAGCAGGAGGGTGACAGCAAATGACCTGCGGACTCCATCCCAGATTCTTTTGTGGGATACGGTGCTGAGGCGAGGCTGTGGTGTGGCTCCCATGTGTGGAACTGCAGGGACAGTGATCAGGGGCAGCACAAAGCTGGCATTCCCAGTGGGACCATTCTCCCCTGCCCTGGTGTACAGGAGCGTTGGAAGCAGCAGCAGAGGCACCTGCGCAGAGCTGAGCTCGGCAGAGCAGCCGAGCGGCACTGAGCGCCACTCAGATGACCCAGCTTCCAGGGGGTTTGTCTATCACTATTATCTATTGTTTTGGCCTGGGAGATGTTAGCCCCATGGGAGCTCCCCACCACACTGTCTTTGTTTCACGACTACCATGTGGACAGTGTGTGGGAATGATCATCCTATTGCCTTTGTCTGGGGAAACCACATGGATGCAACCCACGGGGAGCATCCGCCACCTCTGTTCTTGTTCCTGGTGGGTAAAAAACCTTCTCTTTTTGAATTGTACTGTGTGCATCTTATTCTATCACTTCATGTTTTCAGGAAGTTGTTTTCTCTACCCATAGTCTCTCCTCTTTTGTCCCTCCTTTACTGGAAAGGGCAGGGGCTGGGGTGTGGCTTGTTTGGAGTTTGATTTCCTGCTGTGTTAAAACCAGCACATGGTCCAACAGCACAGTCAGGTACCAACATTTCACAGCATCTGTTAATCCTAAGCAAAGTCTTGATTTCTACGCAAAATAAAAGAACCACAGTAGGTTTCAAAACCTGTCACAGAAATAGGAACTGGGACAATTGTATTTTAAGGATTCTGTACAGTTACATAGAAAAAGGTTTTTTAGATCTTTTCAAAACAAAGAGAAAGTTATTTACTGCTTAAGACTATTCTCAGTAACAAAACTAAAACCATAGAGCTGGAGTGGTTTGGATGAGCAGACCACTATTTCTGTTGTTCTGTAATACTGGAAATGCACATCAACCGGACCTACCACCTCCAGGACATAACAGCAGCACCAAAGGAAGTGTGTCATATTTTCAGTATTTTTAAATTATTTTCTCCAAGCAGAACGCATCAGCGAGCAAAACTCACACACTTGGGACAGAGATTTTTCCTCAGTTGCTAAAACAAGTCTTGTTTTTGCCAGACTTCATGTGGAGTCTGGAAAGCCACAGGGAACTCCTCACACTCATTCCACTGTGACCCTTCCACATTCCCGTCACCCAGAAGCACACATACCTGCATCTGTGAGGTGAGTGAGGGTCTCTTCCATCACTTTCTTGTATTTTCAGGTAAGGAATGTAAGGAGGAAAAGATCATCTGATAAAGCAAATAATATGTGAAATTAAACAGAGTCCACATTTCTTTTTTTATTGCATCTATTGAACAGAAAAATGTAGATATAAACAAACCAACCCTGCAGTTTTGTGAAAACACATCCCGTGTTGACTTTTCCTTGCATCACCCACTCAGGGCAGCTAGGCTGCAGACCAGTACTCTACAGGCAAGGAGGCAGGGGATTCTCTTTGCTTAAGTGTTTATAGCTTCTTCTAGAGCTGTTGGGAAGCACATTTCCATAGACTGGATGTAGCTCTGGTACAAACAGTTGTCACCTGAACAGGGAATGCTTCCTGGAGGATTAGAGGCAGGTGCCCTGGTGCATGTGTGAAAGTGAACGAAGAGGACTCGACATGGTGCCTTCAGTGCCAGACGTTACTGCCTTTATATTGCCTCCTGAACTGTGGGGCTTAGTGAAAACCCCTGCCAAATAGCAAATTCTGATCTCTATCAGAGAATGCTCCAGTTCCAATTTTGTTTTTTCCCACTTACCCACTGTATCATACTACCAGATACCGCTATTCCATATTCCATAAAGAATCAAAAGGAGTTGAATTTAGGGAGTTCTGAAAAACACACAACCAATCGTCCCATAGCACAGTAAATTACCAGATATAAACAAACACTGTTGGACAGCTTAGAAAAACATGTTTTCTATTTATTTAAAAATAAGTTTGTAGTTACTACATTGCAGTGACAGTAATTCTTACACGTACATTCTAGTTTGTATAAAAGGATTCAAAGTATTATGCATCAAAACTAACATAGAAAGTGTCCACATAACAGTAAAGAAATTTCCAATCCATATGTACAAAAAGAAAGGGCACTGTTATCCTGGTGAGATACTTCAGGTTATAACATGATAATCTAGATTTCTGGAAGGAAAAAAGCCTTGATAAAGCTAAAGAATTATAGTTTTCAAAACTGTTACTCATTACATACAACAGATTTGTGTTTTACATAATTCTGTACAAAATAAGTGTAATTTTTAATCTGAAAATCTTGTCAGTTTTAAAATTAACCTTTCTAGGTAATTTACTTGAAGTTGAGCTCCATTCTATACATATTGAAACATTATGACAGAATTTAATTCACGCATGATCATTATCCAGTTGTCCACCACACTTCTGCAGTTTTAGTATGGTCCAAAAATGTAACTTCTGTATGGTCTCAATGCATTAGCAAACCAACCCACGCAGTTGTAAGCACAAAATAGTACATGTACATCACACAGTACATGATAGGTACTTCTATTTCTTTCTCCTACTACTTTGTGTGACCTCATTCTTTGTTCTTTCAGTGTAGAAATTCCTAGTATAGTACTACTTTCCCTCCCTAAAATGTATTGTTTGCATTATTTGAAGTGAATTTCCTGATGTATTTATCTGCATTAAAAAGGATCCAAATGACTACTTGTCTCACTACGTACCTCCTAAAAGCTAAATTTATTCACCCTTATTTTATTGCAGCATACAAGGTTTCTCTCTAGAGCGCCTTGAGGCTGTTAGAACCTTGGGAAAAGGGGGGATGAGGGGGGTGAGGGGGAAGCAGCTAATCACCTTTCTGCAATTTAAGATGTCTTTTCATCTGGCTTCCTGGCATGTTTCCTCCTCTAGCACACTGTAAAAATGACATGGCGAATTCCCGCATTAAAATCGGCAGAAACACAAGAGCACCTGGAGGTTAGCTCTGGTTTAAAAGCTACCTGCTGTTTTCCCCCAGACATCATAGAAAGTGAGCAAACTGTATTCACGATTCAAAAACAAGAAGCTACATAAGCTGTCAATGCCAGATTTGTTATTTGAAACACACTGTCAAGCCTTGGCCAGTTTTATGAAATGTAATACACTTTCCTCTGCATATGAACATGTATATACAGTAATTTACAGCAGAACACTAACAGCCCTTTTATCAGTTGAATATCTAGGTCCCCTTGGAAACCAATCTGTTACAAGAACTTCAGGGATAAAAGAAAATATATACTCATTTTGCACAGTTCATTTGTCTTCATTTAGGTCATAAACAGAAATTGAGCTTTTGCTGTTTCTAGGTGAGGTTTCAAAACCCTGTACCTTCTCTATCACAGCACTATAGCAGAGTTTTAATTAAATATTTTAAAATACTTAAAAAAAAGCTGAAAAGGAAAACCCTTGACAGTCTACTGTGGACAAAATATACTATTTTAGAATAAGGTGAGGACTCGGGAGAAAATGTAAATATTGTGGTATTGGCTACATTTTGATTGACCAGTGATGTAAAATTACCTCAGCAAGATTCACATGCTACAAATAAATGTTGATCAAAGTGAGCTTAAAAACCTCTAATCTCCAATCTACTATATAAATACAGGGTGAAAGGGTCCCATCCAGTTAAGCCTATTGCTTTTATAGAATCTGTCAACTATTTAACATGTGCCTAAATTCAAATTACACGCTAAAGTGTTTACTTGTAGTCCTCGATCCAACAAATGTGAGCAAAATATTTAAAAATGCAGTGTAAAATTGTAACAAGCTTGAAGTTACTGAATGGACAGGCTATTTTTTGTGTTGCATTGTAGTCCTTTTTTTGGTAAGACAAAAGCCTCTGGTGCAGAATTGGTACTTAAAAATATTTGTACAGCAATACAGTGAATAAGCTGTCTCTACACTACAATTTATTTTTTAATAGATATTAATATCTATACGTGCTGCATCAGGGTCCTTTATCAATTAATAGTTTTACAAATATTAAGCCATAGTAATATTTAACTCAACCAACTCAACCTTACAAGTCTATCAACAAACTGATCACAGGTACAAACCAGACACTGTACAAATAAACATCTGAAAATCTTTATCACAGCAGTTGAATCACTGGAGGAAGACATTTCTCTGTAAAGTTGTATCACTGGTCATTGCCAAGTGACAAAGAGCTCTAGTTCAATATTGACCACTACAATGGCAAAATTTCAGTTCAGCTCCCAGAGAACACACTAACAACAGAAACAAAGTGGCTAAAGCATTGTTAAGTATGTAGGCACAGGTACAATGATTCCTGTTAAACATTTAGAGCACACTTATGACAGAAGCAGAAGTATTTCCTCATTGGTAGGTAAAGAACACACTGTTATCAAGATACCACTCAGCAGCAAATACCAATTTTAACGTTTCCCAGTATAGCATAGAAATACCAGAACTGTATCCTCATATCCATGTCAAATATAAACTAATTTAATGAAAAAGGAACTGAGTTAATTGCTGCCAGATTATTTGCATGTATGTGACTATGAAGCTATGTTATTTACAATGCAAATGTAAAACAAGCATATGAGGTTTTGATACTCCATTTTCTGAACCAGTTGTTAGGTACTTGAGATGGTATTATTAAACATGCATACAACTATAGTTCTTAAATTATTTCAGAACACTGACCAATAGTTTATTGCTCACATTTAAAAACCTATGACTCTGTAATCAAAAGCTCTTTTTCTGTATTGATACAGTATCTCACGACCACCTCAAATAATACATTTTTCCCCAACCAAAATATGGTCTGGTGGTGACTAAAGTCTCATAAATAAAGTTTGCAACCTAGTGAAATTAAATTATAAAAAATATAACTTTTAAATAAATCTGGTATTAATTTCTAATAAATTTCTAGCATTGCTTCTATAAAAAATTGACCCAAATGATCCAGTTTAGTTTTAAAGGAAAAATATTAATGTGTCTAATAAGAATCAAAAACTTACTGGCTAAAGTCACCGATATTACTGGGTGGGAAGCAGTACCCATGTTCTGCAGATAAGGCCTTCTATCCTCGTAAAATTAAGATGTACAATCTTCTACCTACTGTTAAGGGAATGCAGATTATTTCAGTCTCCAGAACTTACACACAAGGTATTTTCGATATATAAATATATACATAAACATGCCATATAAAACATTCTTACAAACGGAGTAAATACAGAAGATGAATTTTAGATATAATCTATTTTATATATTACAATGCAGATAACATCAGGAAATTACACATTTTCAAATGATTGCCTTCATCAGTGAGATTTGACAAAATTAACAAGTAGAATCAATCAGTTTTGAATTGTGAAGCTGTATTGCAACTGTACAAATGTAGCTTGTTATCTAACCACATGTTTAGTGACTCCATTTTAATCGGATGATAAAAGAAATACTTGTTAGAAAAAATAAATATGCCAACAAATCAAATACAAGCTAATCCCTGGCCCCCAAATTCAAATCTGTAACAATTCAGAGGATCTGGAAAATATCTCAGCCATTTTTTGTAGCAAAATGAACTACATAAAACTAGGTATGGTGGATCCTAATCTGCTATCCACAGTAGTATATTTCTATTACTCTTAGTGGCAAATACCAATATTCTTTGTTCAAACTTTTAGGCTTTTTTTTGTAAGAAACTAAAGAATGAAGAATCAGGCCTCAAATACACGTACAGAATCTGTGCAAATTTAAGATCTTAATTCCGCATGTCCTCCCTTCCAGACACTGCAAATGATGTGTAAAAAAAAAAAAAAGTATAACCATAAAATTTTGGTTACATTTTTGTACCATACCAGATCTCAGTAAATACCACTATTAATGTATTTTTTTTCTTTGAAACTGGACAATACTTTTTTTTTTTTAAGTGATAGAAAATGGTATTAAGGTTTGTTTGTAAAGTTATAAAATAACTAAATGTACCATAAACAAATAAATAACTGCTTTTCTTTTCCAGAGCAGTACATATAACAATACATTCCCCTAAGTCATATAGTTATCATTTACAATAGACAACTTAATTTTAGTAAGGATGCAAGAAATAATAGAATACAAGGCACAATCATTAAATGGAATTTTTCTTTAGGGTGTATATTGACATATGTCAGCGTGATATACCATAAAAAGTGCAGAAAAACACAATGTGCAATGAGACCACTGTATAAAACATGATTGCATAAAAAGTGATTTGGCCTTTTAACCCTAAT